TATCTTAACTCTTACTTTCACTTCAATTAACTTGATTTCTGTCACCTGTATATATAGACCTTGCCCAACCTAGGAGATGCTATGATGTAACAATACTCACTTGTTGAGAAAAATTCCGAAGGTTTGAGTAACGTGACAGCAACAATTTTACTAAAGCCTAGTACAACAATCAACTGCATACACAACATATGACTCATACACAATAATGTAACAACATTTGTCACAACTAATTCTTTTAAAACAATCAACCTTCAACACTCATGTCATGAAAACTAAACAATCATTAAATATTAAGTCACAAAATAAACTAAATAATAGCACTTACACTAAACCGTGTTATATATCCAACAATCAGGTAGGCTAAATCAATTTGTTAGACTGTTAACATTTATTATATACAAAAAATATTTCTTTGATTGATATATGTATGCATTTAAAAAATACCCAAGAAGACTCATATTTCACAACATGGAAAGATATATTGCATGGTATGATTATAGTCATATCACTGCCTGCCTGCCTTAGATCAGCTATAAGAAAGAGACACTTTAATGCAAAGAGGGATTTTTGTTGTTGTTGTTGTTTTCACACACTATCCCACCCATTTGTTGTCATCAAGTCAGGAAGCAGTTGGCATGGCCACACAAGTAAAATGCTGAAAAGATCTGAAAACACGTACAACCTTCTGTATGGAGTCGTGGAGTATTTTTATATTTAAGCAGTCTGACAAGTTAATGCAAGAAGATTAGTTTACATGTACTTTATCTACAACATCTGCATTCTACTGTCTTTTTTACAGCGAGCCTAAAAGTAGGTCCAAAATAGATGGTTTAGTATCTAAACAGACATTTGGTTTGGTAACAGGGAGAAATGAAATCTAGACTTGTTAATGAATAAAATATCACAAAAACCTTCCTCTAATGAAGAGTGCAGTCAACTTGTTAACTAAACACTTTTAAGTTATAGCTCATAGACTATAGCTATGCAATTTTTTAAAAAATAAGTTGCATCGTTTAATTGGTTCATAAACCAAACATATAAAAAAAAATAAACAAAAAGCATATTTAAACTAGATATGTTGTAATTAAATCAATATAGGGTGAAAAATATGTATACTTGTCCATATGTTAAATGATGGTCACTGTTTTGACTTTCAAGAATCTAGTGATGTTATTTTCAAATGAATTAGTAAAATGTGCTAAACCTTTTCTGTAGGTGGGATGCAAAAAATTTCGATTTCAGGAAGGGTTTTCATATGAACCCCCAATTTATATTCTATGACGAGGAACCCACTTTGAGACTAATAATGCTTGGAGATAGCTTGAATAAGTAATGAAGAAAAACTTTAATATAAGTTTAACATAACAGCAAATGTACTATGTTTCGACAAGGTTCTGTAATCATCTGGTACAAGTAATTTACACTGACACTATATACTGTATATAGAGGTCATATGACTGGATATTGTTGTATGACTTAGAAAAGATATCTTGGCACCACAGGGTGTTGGTTTAGAGTAGGGTTGTTTTGCTCAATTAAGATGGATTCCTTGATTTTTCGTTTCTTTATGTTATTTGTTTAAAATTACTGTGTTTTTAATAGATATACTATGGTATTTTGAGTTGCAATGATGGAATACGTGGGTTGTTTTTTTATAGTGTTCTGTGAATCTGATTTCCAATTTTCTTCATGTTTCTCCGATGTAGAATTCTGGACAGTTATTGCATATTATTTTGTAAATGACTTTTGTTTAGTAACGATTTTAATTTAGGGATTTTAGTTTGTGTTTAATGGCTAGTTTTGTCCAAGTGTGGATTATCCTTGAGCTGGTTTTAGGGACAAAAGGTAAACTGCAGTGTAATGTTCTGTTGTTGGATTTGTTAGTATCACATTTTGTTCATTAATTGAGTTTTGTTGTGGTGAATGTTGGAGAGTTTTTCGATAATAGCTGGTGGAAATTTGTTGGTGCGAATGAAGGAATGCTTTATGTAGTTGATTTCTTCATCTATGTAGTCCATTGAACAGAGTCTTGTGGCTGTGTTTATGAAGTTTTTAAGTGTATTGATTTTTTTTTTGTGTCATGAGTGAAATTCCAAGGAATCTAGAGGCTGGTGTGTGTGTTCTTATGGTGAATTTTGGTTTTAAAATGTGTGTCTGATCTAATAATGTTGAGGTTA